TATATATAATATATATTACAGATTAACTAAGATTGGAAAAGTCGTAGTTATGAACGGATTTTTCTACCGATAAAAACGTCTCGTTAACCGGGTGGCCCAAAAGTCGGTTAACCGAGGAGTCAACTCGAATATATTCCCTTCGGTTAACCGACTTTTGGGCCACCACCCCGGTCAGTAAACCGAATTTTGAATAGAGCTCTTGACAATTACGAAAAATTAAGCAAGTTTACGCTCGAGGTTACCCGAATTTTGTTCGTTTCCATTAAGTAATGTCTTCCTTAATGGTCTATTTCGTTAAATAGTATAAAAATTTCGTTTAATAAACCGAACTTAATGACTCAAAGTGGTGCCCGCGGTCTAATCCGAGCTCAGTCCTTTCCGTTGTCTATATTGATAGAGGGTGGTCCTAAAGTCAGTTAACCAAGATGCATTTAATAATACTTTTGGAATATATGTCGGTTAACCGATTTTTGATCCATCTAACACTTTATTTAAATACCAGCGTACGAAACAAACGACTCAAAGTAGCGCCCGCGATCTAATCCAAAACACAGCTTTCCTGACGTGTAAAAATACCTGCAGACACGTAATTAATGAATAAAAATATTAATTTTAATTAAAATCTAGGCACCAACACGTACTTTTTACAATATTTCAATCAACAATATCTAGAAAAACACGTTCCAAGTCACTCGAATCCCTTGCACCCATTGGAAATTGGATTTTTCCGGCTTAAAAACAATTATCCAAACATAGAAAAGTGTGTAAAAATACAACGTAAATAATTTAAGCAATTTAAGAAAAACGCAAGAAAAACGGTTAAAGTAAAGGTTTTTCGCCGTTTTCTTTAACGAAATTTGAAGAGAAATACATTGAAATTATATTAATAAAATAATAAAAATGGCTAAAATGATAAAAACATAGTTAAAAGTTACTTAAAAAGACAGTAAAAATCGCAAAAACTATTTAAAAAGTATCAAAAACAATAAAAAAAATGACAAAAAATTACGAAACAATCGTTAAAAACAGTGAAAAATTAGGAAAAATTATTCAAACTTTAGCTCTAAAATCGCCCACAAATCCACGAAATTCGTTCAAAAATTACAGAAAAAAAAGGGTTCTTACGCGACAAAAACTCAAACAGAAAGATAAAATTTATAGGGGGAAAAATCCGTAAATTCCCTTTAAAAAAAGGAGGGATTTAAAATTACATTTTTGCAGAGTTTAAATATGAAATTCATTAATTTAAAAGCCGGTAGATTACCTGAATCAATTGTTCTTAGAGCAAAAATGTCGTCTCGCTTACCCTACTGTTCCCATCTCATTCAATGTCAATACCATTAGTAAATGTTTTTTTTTATTTTTTTGTTTTATTTTATTTTATTTTTTCTTGCCCCCTCGACGGAAATCGCAATGCATTCTGGGTAACGGCCATCCCTCCTCCCTTAAGTAGTTAAGCTGTGTTATCGGTTTATCGACTCTTTCACAAATTTAATATATATTTTTTGATCTCGTAAAAGATTTACGGTAACAATTCCTCCATTTATTTTTTCCTACAGATTTCTCCTATTGATCAGTGACGAGCGCCTGGCATCCCATAGGATTTTACGCGTGTTAATTAGTAAATCACCCCGTTGATTAACTAAAAAAGTGATTTATTTAATTAAACTTAACTTTAATTAAGCGTAATTAATGATCCGTTCGGGTTAATTACGCTTCTCCTCCGCTTAATTGCGCTTAACACCTGAGAGTAGATAATTACAATTATTCTAACTCCTACTTAATTCTAATCAATCTGGCTAAGTAATCCGAAGTTACGCTTGTGTATCTTCGAAATAAACTAAAATTTACCAATGGTAATTTGATAATTGCGTAACGAATCCTCCGAGTGTTACGATCCACTCAAATAATTACGCGTTAAGCTCTCGAATACGGTTTAAAATCATAAAAATTTGTAATTTTAAATTAATTTAGATGTAAAATTTAATTTTTAAGAGTAAATTATTGAACAATAAACGAAAAAAAAAGAATTCGTCTTAAATATCGTACTTACAACACCATGGCTTCTCAATGTCTAACAAATATTTATTCAAACCGTGATGTCATTTATTATCGTCCCCCATTGGCTCGATCATAAATAATAGTCATCGTCTTTATCTCCGGATTGGATAAATATGACCTTGACAGTGCTTTAAGATGACGTTTGATTGGTGGAGAAGGAAGATGTTAGCTATAATGATGCAAGGTGCTGGCATTATGACATTGAACGTGACTGCCTTTGACGTGTCCCCCAAAGAAGATAATGTGATTAATTCTCGATATTATTATTATTATTATTCGTGCAAATTTAACACGTTTATGGGCCAAATATTCAAATTATTTTCACATAAACCATTTGGGAACGTGCAATGTGGTACGTACCATGCTCCTTCATCCTATATAGATAATCGATATCGAGCGTTAATTGACGTTGTAATATATCAATTTAAACTCGAATTTTCTAAAATTTAATTACTTTTTTAGTTAAATTTAAGAGTTTAATTAATTAAAAACATTATCAAGCGCTTAATTAAATTCAAAATTTAATTATCATCGTAAATTTATGATAGTGAAGTCGTCAGATCTCTGTGAAATGATGATGATAAATGTCGTTTCTATATATTTATCGTGTGATATTATATATACGTATACATTTCTACGTTCTAGGGAGATATATAAGATTTTTTAAGTGAGAAAATTAAGATATTTTATAGATTTTTTTCCTCTAGAAAGTATATATGAGCTACGAAAGGGATGAGGGCCTTTCGTGTATATTATTTAAGTGTATAAGAAAGAAGAGACTCGTAATACTTGGCTTCTTCCTCTTTTCTTATATATATTCACGGTCTTCGATAGCTCGTATGGTGTTTGGAAGTAGAACGGACCCCTTTGCCCATTAGTGGGTCTCTTTCTCCTTTAGCGAGTCCCTTTCACCACGATTCTTTTGAAAAAATAATATAGATAGAATGACTCTTCATTAATAATATGGAGTGTTAAAGATATTTTCTGTTAGTAAGAATAATGTTAATTTAATAGGGGTAGGAACTATTATGGGCCCCCAAGTTTTCTCAGGGCCCCTTCCTGTATTTATACTCGAAAGTGCAGAGGATGAGAAAGGACGAAGCGATATTAGCAATATAACTTATAACTACTCCTCTTTTTAATATATAATTTTTATTATATAATTCTGAATTCTTCCCCCCCCCCTCTCTCTCTCTCTCTCTCTCCCTATTTTCTTATTATAGTGTAAACCACGGTAGAACGGAACTCCCTATAAGTTTTAATAAGTGGGTGGTGCAGAAATCTTCAAGAACTTCATAACAGACCTCACAGTGCACGTCTACACTGTCAAGTTCAATGTGAGTTGGCAATCACGTGCTGATAAGAGTACGTCTCTCTTTTTCCATCAGGATATGTAATTTTACCGGTTCTTTTTCACCTGTGACCGAGACAGGGTCTGTTGAAGGGTGAATCGTTTGTCAGAACTGAATCAAATACCTATAATTCATATGCTGAAATATATAACACAATGTTGACAGACACACACACACAATGTACAGTACATTATATACAGTGATATAATTAGCCCTCTCCTTTAAGTTATAGGTATAATTATAGGTATAATTAGCCCTCTCCTTTAAGTTATAGGTATAATTTTGGGTTCTTTCTTCTTTATACAGTAGACCTCCCTATAACACTGTTGATAATTCCGGGTTATATGAATTCCAAACGTTGTACGAGTCACTTAGATTTTACAAATACTTGAACCGTTCACAGCCCGGCATACGTATTTGTAAAATCTAAGTGACTCGTACAACGTGGAATTCATATAAAACGGAATTAACAACAGTGTTATAGGGGGGGGTCTGTTGTATTCTCTTCCTATATATAGGAAGAAAACGTAACTACTTTGTAATTCCTTCTATATACATGTCAAGATGCTAGAGTCTAGAGTATATTTCCGAAATAGTAGAGAAAATGTAACAATGAAATTGACGTCAAACTCGTGTATAAACGAAAGATTGTGACGCATTTATAGTTATATTCTATAGCAGAATTCACCCCTGAATCTTAATTAATTAAGTAAATCATATAATAATGTTTAAATGCGGGTTGTGTCGTAATTACAAGACGTGAAAATTCATTAACACGCGAAGAAATCATTGAAATTTTCCAACCGGCGAATGGAACTTGCGGTTTAATTTTTAAAAGAAAACCAGTTAAATGCCCGATTTATCTAAATGACAAGCGATAAATAGGAATAAAACGAACACTTACAAACTGTCGAACATCATTTTCTCTCCCTTTTATCAATTTAATAAATATTCAACTCGATAGAAAATTTTAATCGCGGCGAAACTCGTGTTAAGTTGACGAATTTTTCCCACTTGGGTTCGCTTTAACGATTAAAGCGCCACCCAACGTAGTTACCATGGTAACTATTCAATATTTTTCTATTAAGATGGCGTAACGTCGCCTTCGCGGGAATCACCTAAATGGCTCGTAATTTAGGGAAATAATCGTGTCAGGGTCTTCGTTAAGTAAACTATAACGTCAAATACACTAAACACGCGCTTTTTCCGCCATTACCGGCTGAAAAATGTCGGAAACCTTAGATTTCCCGACTAATTTAAGCAATTTTTACTAAAGAAAAATGCATAAATACCTCGTGTATAAGTTTCTCCTTCTTCTAAAGAACGAATTCATTCTTATTTTACGTTGGTAGAGAGAAGAGGAGATTGATTAACTCGATCCTTAACAGTTATTCCGGTTACTCTTGGAGTAAAGAGCGACCATAATAACGCTTTTTTTTAACTTAAAATTTGTCGAATTTAATGCGTAATTTCATCGAATTTCTCTTCCTAATCGTTAGATCGATGATAAGAATCGACGTCCAATCCTTGGCCTTATTGTCCTTTGTCACGAGCGAAGCATTAACAATGTCTATCATGTCGCACTTTACCTAAATAAATTTCAAAGTTCAACACTGTTATTACACTATTTCTTATATTTTAAATGTTAGAAAATTCACTTTAAAATAGTATATTCATAAATTACTTCACTACATCATTATATATTAAATTATATATTAACTATACTCACTTTTATGCACGCTCTGAATATAATTCAGAACGTTTACTCGCTGTAGCATGACACTTACCTGTTCACGAAGGGAATTAACGGGGGGAGGGAAATAAGTCAAATTTTAGTGTGACCGGCCAACTAAATAACACTTCACATGCCCGGTTTTTTTACTAAGAAATTGTCATTAACGTTTGTGTGGCAACGTCGCCACGTTTTATCGATTAAAACTCGTGATACAGTGGCAAAGTAATGTGTGTCGGAACGTGGCGCATGTTCGTGACGAAATATTCTTTGCAGATCACGTGCCCCGTTAACGTCACTACGGGATAACTTAGAGGTGAGTGAACCTTGAAAATTCGATAGGAGAGGGAAAGTCCCTCCATTTATTATCAACGTTCCCCCTTTTTTTCTCTCTATATTCAACTAAATTTCGAATTATTCAATTTTTACTAAAATACATTTAATGGCATTTCGTCTCACCAAATCTCCATTAACATGCCAGGGTTTTAAGTGTTTTTTCCAGCTTAAAATATGAATAATAGCATAAAATATACATTGATTTGGTCTTGTTTGTATATTCTATAATCATTACTTTTGTTGAAATTCCAAAAAAACATGACATTTACAGGCATACTTACACGCAAATATGACTTACAGACAGACGTACTGACTCTTACACTTTTTCAACGTTAAAAATACATAGAAAATGAATTTTTAAACGAGAAAAAATATTTTAAAATAATTATTTATTATCTTAAATATAAAATAATTTAAATATTTCCGTATTTTTATATTTAAAACCAGGAAAAAAAAAATCATAATAATTTCCTACCTGGAACTACTCCAAATTCAATTTACATTATCATAATGATGAATGAGTAGAGCTGCCATCTAGTAATAGATTTAATTATTAATTTATATTATTAAATTTTTAAAAATATTATTATTATTATGTTTGAGGAGAATTTATTTATTTATTTATTTTCTTATAAATATGAAGCGTGAATTTTTTTTTAATAAATTTTTCGGAGGAGGAAAAAATATTGGGATTTTAGACAAACGTTGGCATGCCAATGATTAAGTCGGTAGACATTTTTAAAATGTTAGAAATCAGCCACACCTTCTATAGGCACGTAAGTTATACATTTAATATCCGTTCGCCATCTTTGATGACATATTAAACCGGAAGTAGATTGCGTTACGGAAGTCGTCACGTTTTAGTTCGCGTGACGACACGTCCCCTTTCATTAATCAATTAGAAACAAACAATTAATATAGTTCCATTTTTAAAATTTGACTGCTTGACAGATGTCAGTAGGAAAATCAATAACGTTTACTACTACAAATAATATTTTTTTTTAATTAAATAATAAATTTTAATGTTTACGTGTCAATGGCCGTTTTATTCTAGATTATAAACCCCAAAAACGCAATTTTGGGTGTTGCAATTACCTCAGAAACCCTCGAGAAAGCAATTTTGGAGGGCAAAAAGAACACCAAAATCCTTAAAAACATAATTTTGGAAGTTCAAAGAACATCGTAAATTCCTCAAAAACACATTTTCGGGGTTAAAAGAACACCTAAAAAACCCTCAAGATCTTATTTTGAGAAATGAAAGAACACCCCAAACTCACAAAAACCCAAAAATTCGCAGTTTATAGCAAATACAGGAACCACAGAAAACATAATTTGAGAGCTCGCGAGCCTGATAAGATCAATTTTTAGGTAAAAGCAAGCGCATAAACTCAAAAAATATATAATTTTTAGGGATTAAATGAAGTATATCAACCCTAGAAAATACAATTTTGGGAGATAGAGTAAACACACGGACTTAAAATTAGCAATTTTGGAGGGTATTATAAACATTCGATTTTTGGCGCTTGTCGTGAGCCAAAATAGTTTGAATGCTCTTCGTCACGAATATCAGCTTAATTGGGGTTGTATAATGGCACGAGGCAGTAAACAGGAAGATAAAATTACGTTGACAAAGCCCAGGGGACCTGCGGGTCGCTGGTGACTGTTTCACACTGGTTTTTCTTGTTGCTCTTTCAAGAAAAAAATAAATATGTGAGAAATTTTTCTATTATTAGACGAAGGTTACAATTGCCTATAACAAATAATTTTTTAATTTAAAATAATTCTAAAAAATAACTAAGAAAAAATAATTACATAAATCGATACTAGATGGCGATAAGATCGAGAAGACTGGTTAAAGACAAAAGAAAAATGGCGAATGGTATCACTGTGTTAACACAATAAAACTGTTGTTATTATTACTCACTCCGGGCCGTGCCTTCGAATGCCAAATTATATTTAATTAGTAGCCGGTTTCTTAAAGAGAAAACAATAAAGTAAAAGATCTACCCTCCCCAAAAGATCAAGTATATTTTCAACTGTTGAAAACTTTAATACATATATTGATGAAAGTGTTTTATTAGAAGTGACACAAATGCCCATAGGAAATGGAAGGGAATACTAGTATTGCAATTTCGTACTAACCAGGCGGAAGTGATCGCTTATCGGGCGAGACTATCACGTGATACACGCAGTCCGGGGGTGATTGATGTCGGGGGCCTTCTCGTTAAGGGAGAAGAAGAGAAGCGGAGAGAGGAGCATACTGATGGAAACGTCCACGTAGAGATAATAACCCGAAGGGGAACACCCCCACCTACAAATAAGGGACAAAATGACTATGGTCCCTCGATTTGTCTACCAGCTTCCCTGCCAGCGACGATAGAACTATCCTTTCTTATCGCTCTCCCATAAACGAAGAGTGGGGGGTGAAAGACAAGCGAATTCGCCCGTTTATCCACTACTTCCGCAAAATGCTTCCGTTTCTTCCCTTATCTACTTTACTTTCCTGGCATCAAAATGGAAAAGGCGTTTCTTCTATATGCACGGTTTTTATTTTTTAAACGTATAGTTTAAAAGCTTAACGCAAGAGGCGCTCTTACGTCATAAAATTCCATAATCAAAAGTCAGCGGTTTTGTTATGGTAATGAAATTGGAAAATTATTTTTTAATCGTTAGTAAAAATGAGTTTTACTGCAAAGTTTGCGAAATGATGTAAATAATTTTACAACATATTTTTGTAGTATTTTAGTCATGCTACGACAGGAAATTCTTCGTCTTGTTTGTTTTGGGGAATTGTTCTTAAAAATCTCAAATTTAAGACCGCGTATTTTAGGGATTTACTTCTCAAATTTCTGAACATATTTTAGGGATTTATCTCGATTTTCAGAAATATATTTCAGATATTTTTCTTGGAGTTTTGGGGAATATTTTTCTACTATTTTGGGGTATGTTTTAGTATAATTTTTCTCTGATTTTCCGACATTTTTCAGGAATTTTATATTAAATTTTCAAACATATTTTATAGATTTTTTCCTAACTTTAGAGCACTGTTTAGTGCTTTTTACCTCAAATTTCAGAATATATTTCGACAATTTTTTCCGTATTTTAGAATATAATTTAGAAGACTCCTCTGAAATATCAAAGCGTATTTAAAGGATTTTCCTCAAATTTTACAACATATTTCAGAAATTATTTCCCAAATTTTAGGGCATATTTTAGCGACATTTTCTCCAACGTTCGAACATATTTTACGTCTCCTTCGAAGAATATCTTAACAATTTTTTCTTCAAATTCCAGACCGTCGTTGAATTTAATTTCTGCTTAAAATGGAGGACATATTTTTGTGAAAAACAAAAGATTTGGAGTGTTTGTTAACGTAATGGAAAGAATTTCTAAGAACATTCTAAGTGAAAAGAACTAACCAGTTAGTAGAATGGTGAATTTCAAAGCATCGGTTTTGTCATCGATGTCTGTGATGGATGAGAGGGCGGGCCGGACATAGACAAACGTCGTACTCACTTCTTTATCCCCCATCAGAAAATGTTGGAATCAGTAACTGTTTCTCCCGAACGAAAGAAAAAAAAATATATAAAGAAATTTATAAAAAAAAATCATGAATGCCATCTTTTTTTCTTATAAGTTTGCCTTTAACTTTTCCTATTCTAGATTTCCCTTCCCTATCAGTTACACTTGTCTTGTACTAATCCGTCAAATAGCCGAAAACATGGCCTCCGGATATACTTTGTGTTTTTAAAGTAATTTAGATATTTCGCTCTTTGTTGCCATTTCTTTTTTTCTTTTTATCTTTCCCTCCTCCTTCTTCTTCTAGTTAAAAAATAAAATAAAAATAAAAATAAAAGAATAAAATACGAACGAGTGAAGGAAGGTGACGTGTTTATAACTACCACGGGGATAAAAAAACATGAAAAATTGAAGAATAAAACTGAAATGAATTGGAAAATTATTGAATAAATCTGTTTAACACTTCACTAGAAAATCTTTGTCTAAAACAATTAGTAAATTTATAATTTGTTGCGTCACTTACAATATAAAATGTTACGAGTTGAGAAGCGTAACGTGTGAGAAATATCAAAGAAAATCCGTTTAAAATTGTTAAATTTTCTTGGAAAAATAACGCATTTCAAAAGTGTTATTTGTTTTAGGGATTTTTTTAGATTAATAACTTGGTAGTTTAGGGATTTTCTTCTGATATTTTCGACACTTTTTAAAGATTTTATCTTAATTTTCGAGACGACATTTTTAGACATTTTTTTTATTCGAATGTTAGGGATTATTTTTTTGGATTTTTCCCTCCAATCGGAGGAAATTTCAGGAGATTTTCTTTTAAATTTTAGACGAAATTTTACAGATTTTTAAACATGTTTTAGATATAATTTTCTTTTATTTTTAGGTATTTTTCCTCAATTTTAAGGACATATTTTTTGGGGTTTTTTTTTTCGAAATTTCAAGGATATTTCCTTTTATGTATATAAATTTTATAACCAAATTGAGGAAGAATTATTCATACAAAATACAGCTTAGTAATTCTGTACAAATGTATTTTATATAGTAAAAATGATTTGCATTATCTATCAGGAAATAAGATAATTATAGTACAAAATGAGGAACAAAGAACAAATTTAGTAAATATTAAATAAAAATCGAAACATGGGAATGAGAGATGGAGAAGCGGCGAGTGACAAAGAGGAGGAGGAACGAGAGGAACAAAAAGAAAAAAATGTTTGAAAAATTGGGTAAAATAATAGAGAAATTTAAGAAGTAAAAAGCGAAAAATAAGTGAAATTTTAGAAATAAATGAGTTAAAACATTCTTGAAAAAAAAAAATACAATTGTTCAAATGATATAAAATAAAATTGCAAATACGATTTTTTGAAGAGAAAATTGCATTTTGTAATTTTATCTTCTTCTATAACTTAAAAAAAAGACTGTAAAAATTGTTTTAAACTGTCAAGAAGCATTTAATGCCTTTAACTAGTTAAAGAATTTTTATAATTATCATAAAAAATTATGAAATAATCACAGAAATTCCCTTAAATAATCACGAAAATCGTCAAATGATGGGGAAAAAATGTTAAATAATTACGAGAATTACGAACTAATCGTGCATTTATCGTCAGGTTCTTGGACGGAGCAAAGGGAGAAAAATCTTTTTGGGTGTTGTTCCCGGTGGGAAAACGAACTTCCTAAATATCGTATTCCGTTAATGACGGAGTAAAAATGCAATGAAGTAAAATTATTTACATTTTTCCACTCCTCTTAATATTATCCTTATATTTTCCTAATGCTATTTTTTGCTGATCTACGTCATTTTCTGTAACAAAATTACAAAACGGGGGCTTAAAACACTGGCATCAGCATTTTCTACAATTTTATGATTGGACGAACACACCGCTGGACAGTTGGATCGGAAGTGTCGTGTGATCTTTGACCTCTGCCAAATAGTTTCCTCGACTTTACGAGATTATTTTCTTCGGGATTTTGTTCCCATGGCAACAACCTCAGTCGATAATTATTACTTGTACCACACACGCGCTCACACAGACACACACACACACACATACGCTGGTATAAAGTATATTCTTCTGTCTCTTCGACCTTTTGTTTAAACTTGTTCGATTTTAAGTCAAATTATTCATTTTATTGCTCGAATTTTACGGTGTTACGAAATTTGTAGGTCAAGGGACGTTGTTTATTATGCTCATTTGCACTAACAATTTTTCTAGGTCACGTACGCCCCTCTGTATTAATCTATGGCATTTCTGTACGTCACAATGCTCTTTAGTATTGCTAAAATGTATCTAATTTAAGCGCTGATCTTATCGATAGTCGCTGATACAGATCAACTTTATGTTACTCATTATACGGAATATAATGGAGTTTACATACTTTTTAATTATTTTAATGTATAATGCGCATACGTAACGAGTAAACTATGCTAATTAACTTTAATTATATTATATTAATTACCTAAAAGTAACGTTTGTACGCGAAATAATTGAGCATCAAAGAACACGCGAGCAATCCTTGAATGCATAACGAGTCGACTTAAGCGCATAATATCGTGTTACAAAAAGGCATTTTTTTGGACAATGCCAAGGAACCCGATGCAAAAAACTTTAATTTTAGTGTTCTTTATCTTATAAACCAAGCTCTAACGCATCGTCCTATAATTTATTAACGTCCCCCATTAAGTACAGTAGCCACATCCGGATGCCATTTTGTACGTACGCATACATAATGCTTGTGTGTTTTTTTTAAAAAAAAGGGGTCGTGAATGTAGTCAATGAGTGTCTACTCCTTTATTAGTGGCGCGGGTGTGTGTGTGTGTGTGGATCAGTTACCAGCCACGCATGCATAATTAGAGTCAGTGAGCATAGATCGGCCATTTTTATGGTATAGAATGAGAGGAGGGAATGAGGTTAGTAACGAAGTCGTAAAAATACGTCGCCTCAAGCTGACTATCGATCAGACTTAGGACGATTTGCGGGAAATTAAGCGAACTTAACAACGCTTTATAGGTTTGCGTTCTAGAAAAGGGAACTTAAACCCCATATTAAAAGCACGCTTGGCTGACTTTTATCTTGTTACGTCTTGATTTTTAAAGTTTTTTTTTAAAGTTTAAATATGAAAGTTGCGTAAATATATTTATAAAATGTTAATAAATAACTTAAAATATATAATTTTTTCCTGGCGGACGTAAATAAATTTAAATTTAAATCGCTTCTAATCCTCTCGAGATGCGCTGCGGGTTATACGCCATTTTCTTTAATAATTTGTTTTTCTTTAATTTATCTTTTTTAAATTATTAAATTTATAAATAAAGTAAACAAATTACCGTTTTTTTAATAACTCTACAGAGTTTCTTTTATTAAAAAAAATAAGCCGTTTAGGTGTATCAATTTTTCGTCCGAAGGGTGTATTAGAAATTACGGCCATTTTTCTTTCTTTTTTTTGTTATTATTATTGTTATTTTTTTAAAGTTTTATCGAACTTCGCAACTTCTTTATAGCATCCCGGTTAAAGAAAGAAAGAAGAAATAGAGAAAGAAGGGGGGAAGAAAGTAAGAAATGGAGTGTACTGGAGTGAAATAAGTCCAATTGGAAGAAGTTGGACTTGTCTGCTAATCAGCATTATCCGCTGGAGTAAAGTATGTTGTTTTCACCAAATTGACCATAGAGATAGCATTAGGGGGGAGACTAACACCCCAAAACGAATGACCCCTTGACGCCATACGAGGGGCGGTGGAAGCAAAAAGCAACTGACGAGCAAATTATAGTGGGGACGGCTACCGAACAGTAGATTCAATTAATTGCGAGAGCCTCCCTTTTCTTTTTTTCTTTCTTTCGGTGATGTTCTCTGTCTTTGCCAACTCGCGATTAATCTTTTGCTGGTCAGCGTTTCTGACACTAAGTTGGTCTGATACTTGTATTCAACATGTATCCGGATAAAATCCCGTTTCTATTAATTAAAATAAAAAAAATCGCTAAATTATCAGATTTTACGGGGATGAGGTTGCTCCTGTGTGAGTTTTTTGCACGTGTTCTCTGTGGCTTCTCGGAACTTCTCTAGCTCTTTTTTTTTGTGCTGTAAGTTAAATTAACGTGACCTAATTTAAGTTTTATATATAAATTTTACAGATTTTTCTTTTTTAGTTTGGATTCAAATAAAACACGAAAATCGCCGGAGAAACTATCGATAAAAATTTGAGCACTCCGATATTATGTTGCAATTTTCTTTCTTTATTTTCTTTCCTTTCTCTCTCTCTTCTCTTTCTCGTTTCTTCTGATAAAAAAGTTGTTCGATTTCACGCAAAATTTCACGTTAAACTAGGATTTCTTTCTTTCACAATGTGGATATTTTGAAAATGTCAATAATTCTTTCGGACCGTTCCAAAATTCCTCTGTATCTTCGCCTCCTATCGAATTTAAGGGGTGAGGAATTTTCCATTTTTGAATTTTAAAACGTCGCTTATCCTCCGTTTATAATATTAAATCGTTCTAATTGTCGTATGGGCGAAGATTATCGCGAGAAGTGTCGTAGTTACGCGGCTAATTCCTCGCTTGTTTACGTAATTTGCATATATTTACATTCGCGTGCCCATCGTTTACCACCCCTCCTCACCCCAAATCGTATGGGGACGTTCCATTATCGTTGCTATTGGTAACATCCAGCTAACTCTCACCTTAGTTTTGTAAAGGGGGGGTGCGATTTTTTGTGTTTTTTTTTATGATTGAACGCATTATTATTTGATAAGGAACAGATTGGATTTTTAAACAACAATAAATCGCGCGCGCGAAGAAAAGTTTAAACGGTAGAAAAATAGGAATAAAGACTTGGCTAACACAGAGTAAACATCAATTTCCCTTGTTAAATTGGCGTTAAGTTTCGGAGCAGTTTTTAGAATTGGGTAAATCGCATATCGAACGGCAGGACCCGCGACCACGCCTGCACCCCCCCTAGCGCCAACCACATCACCGGGCCCATCACCACTAGACGTCGCTCCAGTCTCTGTCGAGAGTCGTATGGTAGCACACATGACCATGAAGTGCGAACTGCTGACGATCCTATTGATGCTCTTCAACGTCCTCGCTGGGTACCACCGAACAACGGGTGACAACGGCGACAAACCCGATTTTCTAAGCTTACAGGTGCTGGAAGATAACGAGAGAGAGAGGAGGTTCCACCTGGGCCACGTCACTGCCATAGAAACGTCAGTAGATTGGGAGTCGGGTCCGAATTCCACGCAACACGGACTCATCCTAAGGCAGATGACAGACGGGCGACGTTTCATACAACTCATCTACGATTCCACATGGCAATTGGTGGACTGCGAGTACCTACGCAGTGCCAACATGGTGCGTGACTTTCTTAGCAAGTTTCGTCACGATTTCGACTGCGTGACCCTATTAATTTCGGGTCGTAGGGTGGCCGAATGCGCCAACGCCACTTATCGCCTGTTAAAGGACGGACACTTGCCCTCCGACCTCGCACCTTTGACCGATTATCGACGACTGAGACTCGAATGTCACCAACTTCACAACAGGATAAAGAAAGTTGTAAGGAGAGGAGAAGGAGGAGGTCACGATCACTCGGCCACCCCCGATCGAGTCAAGCGTAACTTGTTCTTGTTTCCTGGTACCAATTGGTGCGGTTCTGGAAGTTCTGCTCGTAAATTTAACGAATTGGGTTACAATGCCGCCACAGATAGATGCTGTCGAGATCACGATCTGTGCCCCTACACCGTGGAGGCATTCACACATAAATATGGTTTCTTCAACTATAGATTTCACACCATAAGTCACTGCGATTGCGACGAGAGGTAAGGTTCTATACGTGTGTGTATATATTTACTGTAAATTCCTCCACCCCGTTATAACGTAGCGTTATTTCGCGTGTTTTTTTTATCAGGTAAAGTTATTGTTTATCGGGGTAAGAAAGATATATAGCTTGTAAAGTTAATTGGTTTCCTCCTCGGTGTCGTGGTTTCGGGTATGCAACTATCGAACACAATGACTGTTAAATAATTAATTAAACCAGATGCATAATACATAAAGCAGCATAGTTTTTGCACACGATAACAAAAGGATACAGTACAAAAACAAGAATTTTCTGACAAATTTACACGGGATACGAAGCATCCGTCCTCCATTTTAATGCTCATAAGTATGCCGGATACGTCATTTCTTTTCATTATATTATAATACTAAACTAGATCTAACTGACCGGATATGCTTATCTGTAAAAAGTTTACCCACTCGTGACGTAATTTGGGGGGAGAGGTCAACCACGTAAGACCTTTAGAATTTGTAAGCGCGGTGTGCATCGAGAGAAATTCGTATATAACACGCGTATGGCTCCTCTTTTTTGTGTGTCCTTCGTGTTAAAAATAAAGCTTTTTCGGCATCTTCCAGTTAAATTTTCTTAAGTGTTTGAAAGATTGTAAAAGTTTATATCACTTCCCCTTTGTTTTTTTTATGTAGGGGAGGATTAAGAGCACTTTAGTGCACCCCCACCTAACTACTTTCCACGTCTATATATAGCTGTTTTTTTTTATATAAATCGAGCTTCTCGGTGTTTCAGGAGCACCTTCGTGTTGTAATTTACAACAGTAACATGGAAATTATTTTTTATTATTCGCATTTTTCCCGTCCTTATTTACGTCCCCCATTTAATGAGCTAAAAAATGCGAGATTTTCGCCTGTTTTTATGATAAACAATGGAGTTTACTGTTAATACAGGGCGGTGTTGCACCTTGACGCATCCCGCTGTGTGGAATTTAAGGGTTTAAAACGAGAAAAAACGTTATACTGTCGACGTTTTACGTAAGATACAGTGTATACCCCGCTGCTATTTTCAAATAGATCAGCTCGAATGCACTATAAAGTTGCTTGTTTTATATCATTACTGTCGTTGTTACTCTTCCCTGAAAGTTCTCTGTATTGAATAATAGGTGTGTAGGTGGGTATCTAATGCAATTGGTATGTGTTATATTTATACGGCTGTGTGTAGCATCGTAATGGGATGAAATTGCTAAATCACTTTTGAAGTTTAACGTCACCTTCTGATTGTTTTAAATAGACTTTACTTTATTGTTATTATTATTATTTAGAACGTTAGTTTGTCGGAATTACCGGGGTGGTGGGAAAGTTCTAGTGTTATTCTACATGGTATGCCGATCTGGGTGTTGTTAAATGATGAGGGTCGAGGTTGAAACGTGTTGCGAATAGGTGGACACTACCGATACCTACCGACTTTTATCATTTATTTTTTGGCCAATTTCACACCCCTTTTTGAATTTTATGTTAAAATTTGGCACCGTTTTCTTAAAATAATGTAAAATTTAACCCCGTTTTATCGAAAAAAATTAGCTTTTTAATACGTTATTTTATTAATAAAAGTAATTTTGAGTAAAATTTCTTAGCTTGTTACTTTATCTCGTCGTTGGGTGGATCGTTCTTCTTCTTCCTTTCAACCCACATACTTTAAGGCGCGGTGGTATTTATATTATAAACTAAAATAACTGTAAATAAATTGAAGAATATTAAGTAAAGTTTTTAGATTATTTTAATATTAAATATTCTAATTTATGGATATTTTTCATATGTTAAAAGTTTCTTAATTACTATACAACTTTAAGGAATAAGCAACTTCTACGTGGTGTAGTTCCTATATATAATTATATAGGAACTACACCACTATAGAATTAGGCTAGATACAATTATGGGAACTGTATAAAAGGAAGTATAATTGTACAGGACTTACGTAGAAGGAACCATAACTGTATAGGAACTATGTAGCGATATTCATACAGGAATAATAGTTGTAGAAATTGAGAATTAAACTGCTTAATTTTTATTCTTCAACTGGATAAAACTGTTCTTATTTGAGTCTTCAGCTGTATTAATTCTTACTTTAACAAGAAATATATATATAAAAGAAAGTAGAAATTCTCATTTAATGAGAGGATCTTATTTAAGGCGCCCAGCATCTATTGTCGCGTGAGATTAGAAATTCCTGTATAAATGCTTGGAAAAGAACTTTCTGCGGCGAATTATATTCGTTTCTATCAGTTGACGAAGCCGGAATCCCGTAGGGAATTCCCTAATCCACCCTAATAACGAAATAATAAGAAATGTATATAAATCGAAACGTCATTCCCCCATCTTAACACCTACAGGAAATTTCCATTAAACCATCTAAAAACTCGAAAAAGTCAGTCTTTTTTCTTGTAACGACACGTGTCGGGTATTATTTTCTACATTTTTAAACACTACAGCACCTTGTATTATAGAATTATGCCGCAGTTTTTCAACATTTTCCCTCATCTCTCCGCTAATTATAAGTTAGAAAAGTCGAATTGAATAGTAAAAAACCGTTTCCAGATGTGATATTGTGTAAAAACTATAGAATTTATGTGAAAACATCGACCTTTGAGGACCCACAATCCACACACTTGACGAATAAAAGAGTCGAATAACATATTTAAACTGGGTTTCGAATGTCTTCGTAAGCTTTGGAGGAATTATGTTATTCTAGAGTTTCTCGGTGCCGTGTTAGGAAGAGCCAATGATAATATTTCTACTTTCCTAACATTTTTATGGCCATAATTAAGAGAATATTGGCGAAAATTTCGATTCTTTTTTTGCTTAAAACGGGGAGTAATTAAAACTCGTTTAAACGACCTTTCTAACTGGTGCCATTGTCATCCACACTGGTGATAAATTAACGTACGTATTGTATATAAAGAATATAATAGATTAAAATTATAATTAACACAGAGAATAAATAGAAAATTTCTTGGAATGTATCCCATACATTCAATATAAAATTAAAGAATAATTAACAATAGGGTGAACTGGAGTGACGTCACGGCGACAGTAGAAAGTCGAAGGACAGACGTATCGTCGATAGTTATCGTGTTAAACACTAAACCAAATGATGGAACCCGTAACGATGCCGTTGATTGATGATGGCATGTATCTTGTCTTTCTAATAAACCTATCATTTATGTTCAATATCCGATGATGCCCGGGAGCAAATTGTAAGAAAATGATGCTTTACGACAAAGAATTCTAGCTAATTTCTATTCTTTTTTTTTATTTTTTAGGTTAAAAAGTATTATCAGAAATTCCAGATCAGGATACAAAGAATTCAATTTGAGCCGCTTAAAAGGTGTTAAGAATTCTTATCTCTTTGAAGTAGAGCGGAGATTGTCTTCCTGTAAGATGGTTCACCTTACACAGCTTTATAAAGAACCAGGGGATGTTATCGTCCCTGTTTAGTCTTTGGAAATTCTTAGATAGCATTCTCCAATGCTCATCTCTTTATCCTTGAAGTGGGTTATGTCAACTTGACAGCTAACAATATCATTTTCCCCCCTTTTTTCTTTTTTATTAACATAAAGATACCTTCACTTTATTTATATACATAAGGGAATTTTAAATATTATTCCTTTAAAAAGATATTTAAAAAAAAAAAAAAAATTAACAGGCTTTCTAGCGTGTTTTTGTAAGAGGAAATTATTATTATTTTTTAATAAATTATGAAATAAAATGTAGGTTAATGGCATAAAGATGAATTTAAAAATTTTTTAATTTTGCATATTTATCGCTCTCGTGCAGGCCAGTCGAAGGTATGTATGAGGCCCCTTTAATCTTTTTTGAAAAAACACAGAACGTTTCTTTATTACTAAAAATAACATTAATTTACAGGCATAAGAACTTAATAGTTCTTATGCCTATAAATTAACCTCGTAAATCCCTTCCGGGCCCGAGGAAAATTCCCAGTTTCCCTCTACTATGATCCATCTTTGTTAATACACAGATATGTCTAATAGGAGATTCTGGATTCATCTTTATGTTAAAATCCATCATAATTTTAATAATGATCCGAGAAGAAGATCATTAATAATCCAACAAGAGAGCTTCGTTAAATCCAAACCTCATCCTTCGTGCAAAAAATTCCATCAAGAGTCCAACAAAATGCTGTCGATAATCCCAGCAATACGAAATATTTTTACATTAAAACATTTGTGGATAAAGTTCTTTCGAATTAGTCTTCTTCACAATGTTACAGCGCGATTTTAAAGGCAAAACAAGCAAAAGCGAACACTAGCAATCAACAGTTCAAGTTAAAGGTCTTCACGTGGCTTCTTTCCTGTTTGTATTTTTTTGGAATTAATTAAAGAAAGCGATATTTTACAACTTAAGCAACGTGTTATATACGAAATTATTTATATTTTTTCATTTTTTATTTTCAGGTTTCGAGCCTGTTTGAAACTGGCCAACACAGCAACCGCCAATTTAGTTGGTAAACTGTTTTTTAACATCGTTCAAACCAAATGTTTTTTATTTAAATTAGAAGACATGTGCATGAAACGTTCTTGGTGGGGTAAATGTCTTAAATCCGAGAAAGAAAAAATCGCACACGTTCAAGATTCTTTAAGTTATTAAACAGAAAACAAAATATATACAAAATTCTAGTCCAAAAAATATTTTTAATTACTCTTCGTAGACGTGCCAAAACATATTGATATATATATATATATATATATACACGACTATATATTGATACTCAGCAGCTTAACAGAAATCGATTTTATTTATATTTTAAATCTTTATCTAGTTTTTTCAGAAGGAAATATCTTAGATAAAGATTTTCTTTTAAAAAAAATCGACATATCTTGCACGGGATGATGGCAAAAATGGCAAAAATTCTTAATTTTTAGGGAAAAATCTTTAAAAAAAATTAATAATTTTGGTGTCAGAACACGTAGAAAATCAATATTGATGAATATGAAACGAGTCTGTACTCGTACAAACAGTTTTAATCCAAAAGTTGTCAACTTTTATATATGTATAAAATAAAATTTTCAATGGATTTTTAGTGTCAGAACATAAAACTTTGAAGGTGCAGATATTTTCAAAATGAGAAAAATCATTTAAATAATACATCTTTTCGAGTATTTAACGTCCCGAACATCTGTTGGTTACAAAAGTTAACAATCTTCTTTACATAAAAATCGATAAAACGTGACGAAACTCGCGCTCTAATTTACATACTCGCACGTGACGTTAGATATTCAAATTAATTCGTCATTTTAAATACTTTCCAATGTTACCAATTAAAATTTAAGAACGTCCAAGTGTTACTTCATAGGCAATTCCTCCAAAAAAATCTAAATTAGCTAATAAAGTAAAGGATAGATTGCGTGATCTCAGGTTTTGAACATGGTTTTTAATGAGATTTTAAACGTTTATACAAACTTTACGGTGGGTTTAAGGCCTCGAATACATAAAAAAATGGGTGTAGATGGTAAAATTTCTTTGTAGAATAGTGTAAATAATATATATTTAATATAAACTAACATCTAAAAAAAAGTAGAGGAGAGTCATAGTGTGCTTTTTAACTTCGAAACTACTAACTTTAAAAACCAAAAAATATTAAAAAAAGGGTGTAGAACAACACCGGTGATATTTGTCCATTTATATATAAATATATAAATATATAAATATCAAAAAAAATCAAAGTTTTTTCTAAAAAATCATAGACATATAGTTCCTATTGTAACTATTGCTGTCTCGTCCTGTATATTGATGTTTTAGGATATTTACTAACTTTAAAATATGTTTTTTTTCAAAAAAAAACTAATTAAATCTTCTAAAAAATCTTAATTGGGTTTAATATTAAGCATACTTATAGAGTCCATCATTAAAATAGTATTTATTTCAATTTTTAACTGAATTTTTTGATCTACTTGTAACATATTCGTGTGTGTATTCATACACTTTTCTTGATAAAATATATATATGTGTGTATATGTATGTACGTCGTAGATAATTTTTAGAATGATTTTATTTGTTACACGTCCAAAAATGTGTATAGAAAAAATTTAAATAAATAAATAAAGTCTGTTGTACAAAACTTGAAGCATTTAATGAATTTTTTTTAAATAATAAACTCACTCGAATTGAGGAGAAAATTCAATTAAAAATTCAGTCTAAAAACGTCTAAAACTTCATGTAAAACACCGAAACTCCTATCAAAATTACACAAAAAAAATGCAATTCATACACAATTAAAGTGTGTTTTACACAACGAAGTTTTAAATGTAAAAATTTTAAAAACAAATCTCTCGAGAAAAAAAATCTAAATAAAAACATTCGACATAAATATTGCTTGAAATTTGCTTGAAATTGCTTGAAATTGAATAAAATATTGCTTGAAAAAAACACAAAAAAATTAATTTATATATTAAAAAAGTAAATAAAAGAAATTAATTTTTTAAAAAATTTAATTAATCAATTTACAAAAAAAAATAAAAAGCAAAAAATGCAAAAATAAAATACAAAAAATAATTCTGTATTGTTACGTAATTTTAAAGTGAAAATGAAACTTTCATTCATAAAAGAAAAAATACAAATTAATCTATTTCAATTTATGAATGGCGGTTGCTATAGCAACTTACTACGCTCCGGCGACTATCGACGAATGACGTAGTGACAGTTTTTTTTATATTTTTTTATTGAATTTTTTAAAAAATTCAGACATAAATATAGAAGTTGAAAGAATTAATCAGCAGTCATGTTTAGTTTCCTCGTCGTTATTTCTTTATTTATTCTCACCTATTCTCACGAACCAGGTAAATTTTATAATATATTATTTTTAAAAGTTTAATAATGATTAATTTTTAACACGAATATTGCTGTAAATAACACAATTGAATGATCTCGTAATTATGTTTTAAAGTTCATTGTAAACATAATGAAATTGTCCTTCTGTGGATGCTTTCGTTTTATCATTAAACCTTCAAATTTCTCTCATTACTCAATAATATTTATTACTTATTGTCCATTAATGGAGTTTAAATAACTATAAATTGACACTTTCTCGACGATTTAAACACCTTAACAAATAACTATAAAGATTAACAATTTATTTTATTGTTAAGGAACATCCTTAAACGTTCAAAAATAAACACAATTAATTTGATTAACGTTTAATAGTTATTACTACTTTCCCTGCTCTGTTATATATATAACGGAAGTAACGTACGACAATGGATCAAAAAATTCCCCCCCCCCCGAAATTTCTACAGTTTTGGACTCGGGGGACCTTAAAATGTCGAGAAATGCAAAGAATTTAGGGTTTTTTTTTGTATGGTAGTGTGTGGGGAGGAACACGATTTTGTTAACGGCTTTAAAGCTTAATAACTTCTGTGTTTTTTGTCGAAATTTTCTAAAATTTTGGGGGGTATTTTGTGTATTAGGTGTATCGATGGTATTAAATTTTGGTGTTTAAAGGTCGAGGGAGTGAGGAGATAGAGGGGATCGCGTGTCGTACCTCGAGTAGGGTCGGACTTAACGACGATTTTAACGTTATAAAACTCTCTCCTACCTTCAAAACGAAGCTTTTTCTATTTTATAATAATTAAAAATATAAAAAGATTTTAAAAATAAAATCTCGTAACAGATGGCGCCACGCACGCAAGTTTTAAATTTTGTCGGGAAAGTTAAGCAACTGGCTGATGGATTTTTGTAGCAATTAATTACAGCTATTTTCTCCATTTTTATATTAATTATACCTATAACTATTCTATTTTTCTGGGGTTTTATAGTAAATACAATCATATATATTCAATTATTTATTCATTATTAGATAGTATAATTCAATTTATACATTAGAATGTTTTCATTTTTCTAGGTTATCCAGAATGGGGATACGATGGAGACACTTGTAGGTTTATAGCATAGAGGATAATACAGTAATTACCATTTTCATCATCATTTAATATGCATATTCGACTATTCTAGTGCCAGAAATGTGGCCCGCTATTTATAAACAATGCGGAGGTTTTAACCAATCCCCAGTTAACATAGACATGGATCGAGTGGTGGTCAATCGTAATTTGGGTCCCATAACGTTTATAGGATATAATTCGGTACTGAGAGGTGTCACCTTAGAAAACAATGGGCATACAGGTTTAGCTGTTTCCGGCTTAATTTCTTTTAATTTTTGATCTTTTCTAACACCTTTTTTTTTTACCAATAAAATCCTCGCAGTTAAATTAATTCCACCAGCAAATGCTTACATAGCCATCAGGGACGGAGGACTCGGTGGAACGTATAGACTCAGACAATGCCACTTCCATTGGGGATTAACTGATATTCAAGGAACGGAACACACCTTAAACGAGAAACAATTTGCTCTAGAGGTGAAGTACACGCTAATTTTAAGGATTTTATTAGGTTAAGTTCATTATCCTTATCATAACAACTGATTTTTATGAACGTTACAGTTGCAGTGCCTTCACATGAACGAGAAATACTCGAGCGAATCTCAGGCATTACAGATGAGGGATGGTTTTGCAGCTTTGTCAGTTTTTTATAGAGTAAATTTCTATTAAAAATATATAAAAATTTATACGTTATATTTCATTTCTTAAGTAATATTGATTTACTTAATTAGGCATCTAGTAGACCCAATCCTTTATTGGATAAGATAACAATTGCCATGAGTGCAGTAAGGAATTCTTACTCTAACGAAACGATACATTTCGGTTTCCCATTATTTCGACTTTTTCCAAAAAATAGAGGGTCTTACGTTAGATATTTCGGCTCCTTTACTACGCCAGGGTGCGAGGAAGTCGTGACTTGGACCGTCTTCACAGAGACTCAAAAGGTTAACGTTTTACAGGTGAGATTACAATTGTAAAACACATAAAATTACTGTAAAACCTTGTAAAAAATTCAATTATCTTTCTATTTTTAAGACTCCAGTGTTTCGTCTGATGGTAGAAGGTCCCACAACCGACAAAGAAGAGGTTCTTATTTTAACCAACGTTCGACCTTTACAATCGCTTAACAATCGAGTAATTCAAGGGTCGAGATCCTTCCATCCATAAATAATTAATTTAAGACAATTTATTGTTTAAAAAGAATTCTAAAAAATCACAATCTATGACAGACTTTTCAATATTGTATCCGGATAATGTTAAAATCTGAATAATATTTCTGTGTTATAAGAAATTAATTATTCCTTTTTTGTTATTTTGTATGTATATATATATATTAAAATAAATATAGAACTTGTANATTTTCTTATAAATATGAAGCGTGAATTTTTTTTTAATAAATTTTTCGGAGGAGGAAAAAATATTGGGATTTTAGACAAACGTTGGCATGCCAATGATTAAGTCGGTAGACATTTTTAAAATGTTAGAAATCAGCCACACCTTCTATAGGCACGTAAGTTATACATTTAATATCCGTTCGCCATCTTTGATGACATATTAAACCGGAAGTAGATTGCGTTACGGAAGTCGTCACGTTTTAGTTCGCGTGACGACACGTCCCCTTTCATTAATCAATTAGAAACAAACAATTAATATAGTTCCATTTTTAAAATTTGACTGCTTGACAGATGTCAGTAGGAAAATCAATAACGTTTACTACTACAAATAATATTTTTTTTTAATTAAATAATAAATTTTAATGTTTACGTGTCAATGGCCGTTTTATTCTAGATTATAAACCCCAAAAACGCAATTTTGGGTGTTGCAATTACCTCAGAAACCCTCGAGAAAGCAATTTTGGAGGGCAAAAAGAACACCAAAATCCTTAAAAACATAATTTTGGAAGTTCAAAGAACATCGTAAATTCCTCAAAAACACATTTTCGGGGTTAAAAGAACACCTAAAAAACCCTCAAGATCTTATTTTGAGAAATGAAAGAACACCCCAAACTCACAAAAACCCAAAAATTCGCAGTTTATAGCAAATACAGGAACCACAGAAAACATAATTTGAGAGCTCGCGAGCCTGATAAGATCAATTTTTAGGTAAAAGCAAGCGCATAAACTCAAAAAATATATAATTTTTAGGGATTAAATGAAGTATATCAACCCTAGAAAATACAATTTTGGGAGATAGAGTAAACACACGGACTTAAAATTAGCAATTTTGGAGGGTATTATAAACATTCGATTTTTGGCGCTTGTCGTGAGCCAAAATAGTTTGAATGCTCTTCGTCACGAATATCAGCTTAATTGGGGTTGTATAATGGCACGAGGCAGTAAACAGGAAGATAAAATTACGTTGACAAAGCCCAGGGGACCTGCGGGTCGCTGGTGACTGTTTCACACTGGTTTTTCTTGTTGCTCTTTCAAGAAAAAAATAAATATGTGAGAAATTTTTCTATTATTAGACGAAGGTTACAATTGCCTATAACAAATAATTTTTTAATTTAAAATAATTCTAAAAAATAACTAAGAAAAAATAATTACATAAATCGATACTAGATGGCGATAAGATCGAGAAGACTGGTTAAAGACAAAAGAAAAATGGCGAATGGTATCACTGTGTTAACACAATAAAACTGTTGTTATTATTACTCACTCCGGGCCGTGCCTTCGAATGCCAAATTATATTTAATTAGTAGCCGGTTTCTTAAAGAGAAAACAATAAAGTAAAAGATCTACCCTCCCCAAAAGATCAAGTATATTTTCAACTGTTGAAAACTTTAATACATATATTGATGAAAGTGTTTTATTAGAAGTGACACAAATGCCCATAGGAAATGGAAGGGAATACTAGTATTGCAATTTCGTACTAACCAGGCGGAAGTGATCGCTTATCGGGCGAGACTATCACGTGATACACGCAGTCCGGGGGTGATTGATGTCGGGGGCCTTCTCGTTAAGGGAGAAGAAGAGAAGCGGAGAGAGGAGCATACTGATGGAAACGTCCACGTAGAGATAATAACCCGAAGGGGAACACCCCCACCTACAAATAAGGGACAAAATGACTATGGTCCCTCGATTTGTCTACCAGCTTCCCTGCCAGCGACGATAGAACTATCCTTTCTTATCGCTCTCCCATAAACGAAGAGTGGGGGGTGAAAGACAAGCGAATTCGCCCGTTTATCCACTACTTCCGCAAAATGCTTCCGTTTCTTCCCTTATCTACTTTACTTTCCTGGCATCAAAATGGAAAAGGCGTTTCTTCTATATGCACGGTTTTTATTTTTTAAACGTATAGTTTAAAAGCTTAACGCAAGAGGCGCTCTTACGTCATAAAATTCCATAATCAAAAGTCAGCGGTTTTGTTATGGTAATGAAATTGGAAAATTATTTTTTAATCGTTAGTAAAAATGAGTTTTACTGCAAAGTTTGCGAAATGATGTAAATAATTTTACAACATATTTTTGTAGTATTTTAGTCATGCTACGACAGGAAATTCTTCGTCTTGTTTGTTTTGGGGAATTGTTCTTAAAAATCTCAAATTTAAGACCGCGTATTTTAGGGATTTACTTCTCAAATTTCTGAACATATTTTAGGGATTTATCTCGATTTTCAGAAATATATTTCAGATATTTTTCTTGGAGTTTTGGGGAATATTTTTCTACTATTTTGGGGTATGTTTTAGTATAATTTTTCTCTGATTTTCCGACATTTTTCAGGAATTTTATATTAAATTTTCAAACATATTTTATAGATTTTTTCCTAACTTTAGAGCACTGTTTAGTGCTTTTTACCTCAAATTTCAGAATATATTTCGACAATTTTTTCCGTATTTTAGAATATAATTTAGAAGACTCCTCTGAAATATCAAAGCGTATTTAAAGGATTTTCCTCAAATTTTACAACATATTTCAGAAATTATTTCCCAAATTTTAGGGCATATTTTAGCGACATTTTCTCCAACGTTCGAACATATTTTACGTCTCCTTCGAAGAATATCTTAACAATTTTTTCTTCAAATTCCAGACCGTCGTTGAATTTAATTTCTGCTTAAAATGGAGGACATATTTTTGTGAAAAACAAAAGATTTGGAGTGTTTGTTAACGTAATGGAAAGAATTTCTAAGAACATTCTAAGTGAAAAGAACTAACCAGTTAGTAGAATGGTGAATTTCAAAGCATCGGTTTTGTCATCGATGTCTGTGATGGATGAGAGGGCGGGCCGGACATAGACAAACGTCGTACTCACTTCTTTATCCCCCATCAGAAAATGTTGGAATCAGTAACTGTTTCTCCCGAACGAAAGAAAAAAAAAATATATAAAGAAATTTATAAAAAAAAATCATGAATGCCATCTTTTTTTCTTATAAGTTTGCCTTTAACTTTTCCTATTCTAGATTTCCCTTCCCTATCAGTTACACTTGTCTTGTACTAATCCGTCAAATAGCCGAAAACATGGCCTCCGGATATACTTTGTGTTTTTAAAGTAATTTAGATATTTCGCTCTTTGTTGCCATTTCTTTTTTTCTTTTTATCTTTCCCTCCTCCTTCTTCTTCTAGTTAAAAAATAAAATAAAAATAAAAATAAAAGAATAAAATACGAACGAGTGAAGGAAGGTGACGTGTTTATAACTACCACGGGGATAAANAAATATTTTAAGTTAAAAGCTTTAACGTCACACAACAGATTTTTGTTGCATGTTCCAGCGTAACACGTGTAACGTACATGCTTAAACACCTGTTGAAACTTTCAATATAATCGTTTATTTTTCTAAAAGTTTACGTTAAATTATTCATCTAAACATCCAAAATTATTTCAAGTTTTTCATTATTATTTTTTTAAATAATAAATTTAATTCATTCTGTTTCGTTTTACTTACAGCCGAGTGGAGTTACGATGGATCGTATGGTGAGGAATGGTTATTTATTTATTTATTTTCGAACGAACAAATTTAATTTTTTTAAAATTAAATATACATATATTATATTTGTTTATTTGTTTCTAGGGGATGGTCCCAACGATTGGCCGGGACTATGTCAAAGTGGTACCGAGCAATCGCCCATTAATATAGATTGCAGTTATGTCGTAGTAAATGAAAATCTGGACTGTTTCGATTTTTCTGATTATAACAAAAGGTTACGATCGGTAAAAATCGAAAATTCGAATGGAAAAACGAGTAAGAAAATATTTTCCTCTCGTTCCTGCGCTCCTTGTTCCTCTTGTGGGTCCTGTTCTTGTACTCCTTGTTTTTCTTCACGTGTTCCTTGTACTCCATCTACTCTTTAATCTTCTTCTGTCTCCTGTTCTCGCGCTTCTTGTTTTTCTTGACTTTTTCTCAAGATATGCTTACTACCTATCTGTCATTCCTTTCTTTTCATTACCTCCTTATCTCTTTGTCCTTCCATATTTATGCACTCCAAAGTCTTCTCTTTGACCTCTTCGATCTTCTAATATCCGATTCAGCTTCAATATTCTCTTCTCCTTCACCTTCTATATCTGGCCATACCATTCATGAAGAAGAGGTCACACCATCTTCTGTCTCCTTCTCTAGAATAGTCGTAATTACTCTCCTTACTTCTATATATATATATATATATACTTCATTATTTAAATAAATTAATTTTTTTTGTAAAGTCAAAGTGACACCTAACGATGACATTAAATTATCTGGCGGAAGTTTGCCCGGAACTTTTAAACTCGAAGAGTTTCATTTTCATTGGAGAGCGGAACATTCTTATTATGGCGGATTTAATCCATTGGAAGTAAGACATTTTATATTTAACACATAATATTCCTCACCGAAAAGCATTTAACACGCGATGCTCCTCGGTGAGCGAGAGGAGCGTGAGGACTCTTTTCTAATTACTCTATAATTTAGCTTCACTTCGTTCACAAGAATGAGAAATATTCCACTTTGCAAGAAGCTTTACAATACAGAGACGGTGTAGCAGTTATTGCAGTATTTTTCGAGGTATTTATTTATTTTTTCTACAATATCGAATGCATTTTCGAAACTTTCCTCGTTTATTTTCGGATTCAATGAATNGCCGTTGATTGATGATGGCATGTATCTTGTCTTTCTAATAAACCTATCATTTATGTTCAATATCCGATGATGCCCGGGAGCAAATTGTAAGAAAATGATGCTTTACGACAAAGAATTCTAGCTAATTTCTATTCTTTTTTTTTATTTTTTAGGTTAAAAAGTATTATCAGAAATTCCAGATCAGGATACAAAGAATTCAATTTGAGCCGCTTAAAAGGTGTTAAGAATTCTTATCTCTTTGAAGTAGAGCGGAGATTGTCTTCCTGTAAGATGGTTCACCTTACACAGCTTTATAAAGAACCAGGGGATGTTATCGTCCCTGTTTAGTCTTTGGAAATTCTTAGATAGCATTCTCCAATGCTCATCTCTTTATCCTTGAAGTGGGTTATGTCAACTTGACAGCTAACAATATCATTTTCCCCCCTTTTTTCTTTTTTATTAACATAAAGATACCTTCACTTTATTTATATACATAAGGGAATTTTAAATATTATTCCTTTAAAAAGATATTTAAAAAAAAAAAAAAAATTAACAGGCTTTCTAGCGTGTTTTTGTAAGAGGAAATTATTATTATTTTTTAATAAATTATGAAATAAAATGTAGGTTAATGGCATAAAGATGAATTTAAAAATTTTTTAATTTTGCATATTTATCGCTCTCGTGCAGGCCAGTCGAAGGTATGTATGAGGCCCCTTTAATCTTTTTTGAAAAAACACAGAACGTTTCTTTATTACTAAAAATAACATTAATTTACAGGCATAAGAACTTAATAGTTCTTATGCCTATAAATTAACCTCGTAAATCCCTTCCGGGCCCGAGGAAAATTCCCAGTTTCCCTCTACTATGATCCATCTTTGTTAATACACAGATATGTCTAATAGGAGATTCTGGATTCATCTTTATGTTAAAATCCATCATAATTTTAATAATGATCCGAGAAGAAGATCATTAATAATCCAACAAGAGAGCTTCGTTAAATCCAAACCTCATCCTTCGTGCAAAAAATTCCATCAAGAGTCCAACAAAATGCTGTCGATAATCCCAGCAATACGAAATATTTTTACATTAAAACATTTGTGGATAAAGTTCTTTCGAATTAGTCTTCTTCACAATGTTACAGCGCGATTTTAAAGGCAAAACAAGCAAAAGCGAACACTAGCAATCAACAGTTCAAGTTAAAGGTCTTCACGTGGCTTCTTTCCTGTTTGTATTTTTTTGGAATTAATTAAAGAAAGCGATATTTTACAACTTAAGCAACGTGTTATATACGAAATTATTTATATTTTTTCATTTTTTATTTTCAGGTTTCGAGCCTGTTTGAAACTGGCCAACACAGCAACCGCCAATTTAGTTGGTAAACTGTTTTTTAACATCGTTCAAACCAAATGTTTTTTATTTAAATTAGAAGACATGTGCATGAAACGTTCTTGGTGGGGTAAATGTCTTAAATCCGAGAAAGAAAAAATCGCACACGTTCAAGATTCTTTAAGTTATTAAACAGAAAACAAAATATATACAAAATTCTAGTCCAAAAAATATTTTTAATTACTCTTCGTAGACGTGCCAAAACATATTGATATATATATATATATATATATACACGACTATATATTGATACTCAGCAGCTTAACAGAAATCGATTTTATTTATATTTTAAATCTTTATCTAGTTTTTTCAGAAGGAAATATCTTAGATAAAGATTTTCTTTTAAAAAAATCGACATATCTTGCACGGGATGATGGCAAAAATGGCAAAAATTCTTAATTTTTAGGGAAAAATCTTTAAAAAAAATTAATAATTTTGGTGTCAGAACACGTAGAAAATCAATATTGATGAATATGAAACGAGTCTGTACTCGTACAAACAGTTTTAATCCAAAAGTTGTCAACTTTTATATATGTATAAAATACAATTTTCAATGGATTTTTAGTGTCAGAACATAAAACTTTGAAGGTGCAGATATTTTCAAAATGAGAAAAATCATTTAAATAATACATCTTTTCGAGTATTTAACGTCCCGAACATCTGTTGGTTACAAAAGTTAACAATCTTCTTTACATAAAAATCGATAAAACGTGACGAAACTCGCGCTCTAATTTACATACTCGCACGTGACGTTAGATATTCAAATTAATTCGTCATTTTAAATACTTTCCAATGTTACCAATTAAAATTTAAGAACGTCCAAGTGTTACTTCATAGGCAATTCCTCCAAAAAAATCTAAATTAGCTAATAAAGTAAAGGATAGATTGCGTGATCTCAGGTTTTGAACATGGTTTTTAATGAGATTTTAAACGTTTATACAAACTTTACGGTGGGTTTAAGGCCTCGAATACATAAAAAAATGGGTGTAGATGGTAAAATTTCTTTGTAGAATAGTGTAAATAATATATATTTAATATAAACTAACATCTAAAAAAAAGTAGAGGAGAGTCATAGTGTGCTTTTTAACTTCGAAACTACTAACTTTAAAAACCAAAAAATATTAAAAAAAGGGTGTAGAACAACACCGGTGATATTTGTCCATTTATATATAAATATATAAATATATAAATATCAAAAAAATCAAAGTTTTTTCTAAAAAATCATAGACATATAGTTCCTATTGTAACTATTGCTGTCTCGTCCTGTATATTGATGTTTTAGGATATTTACTAACTTTAAAATATGTTTTTTTTCAAAAAAAACTAATTAAATCTTCTAAAAAATCTTAATTGGGTTTAATATTAAGCATACTTATAGAGTCCATCATTAAAATAGTATTTATTTCAATTTTTAACTGAATTTTTTGATCTACTTGTAACATATTCGTGTGTGTATTCATACACTTTTCTTGATAAAATATATATATGTGTGTATATGTATGTACGTCGTAGATAATTTTTAGAATGATTTTATTTGTTACACGTCCAAAAATGTGTATAGAAAAAATTTAAATAAATAAATAAAGTCTGTTGTACAAAACTTGAAGCATTTAATGAATTTTTTTTAAATAATAAACTCACTCGAATTGAGGAGAAAATTCAATTAAAAATTCAGTCTAAAAACGTCTAAAACTTCATGTAAAACACCGAAACTCCTATCAAAATTACACAAAAAAAATGCAATTCATACACAATTAAAGTGTGTTTTACACAACGAAGTTTTAAATGTAAAAATTTTAAAAACAAATCTCTCGAGAAAAAAAATCTAAATAAAAACATTCGACATAAATATTGCTTGAAATTTGCTTGAAATTGCTTGAAATTGAATAAAATATTGCTTGAAAAAAACACAAAAAAATTAATTTATATATTAAAAAAGTAAATAAAAGAAATTAATTTTTTAAAAAATTTAATTAATCAATTTACAAAAAAAAATAAAAAGCAAAAAATGCAAAAATAAAATACAAAAAATAATTCTGTATTGTTACGTAATTTTAAAGTGAAAATGAAACTTTCATTCATAAAAGAAAAAATACAAATTAATCTATTTCAATTTATGAATGGCGGTTGCTATAGCAACTTACTACGCTCCGGCGACTATCGACGAATGACGTAGTGACAGTTTTTTTTATATTTTTTTATTGAATTTTTTAAAAAATTCAGACATAAATATAGAAGTTGAAAGAATTAATCAGCAGTCATGTTTAGTTTCCTCGTCGTTATTTCTTTATTTATTCTCACCTATTCTCACGAACCAGGTAAATTTTATAATATATTATTTTTAAAAGTTTAATAATGATTAATTTTTAACACGAATATTGCTGTAAATAACACAATTGAATGATCTCGTAATTATGTTTTAAAGTTCATTGTAAACATAATGAAATTGTCCTTCTGTGGATGCTTTCGTTTTATCATTAAACCTTCAAATTTCTCTCATTACTCGATAATATTTATTACTTATTGTCCATTAATGGAGTTTAAATAACTATAAATTGACACTTTCTCGACGATTTAAACACCTTAACAAATAACTATAAAGATTAACAATTTATTTTATTGTTAAGGAACATCCTTAAACGTTCAAAAATAAACACAATTAATTTGATTAACGTTTAATAGTTATTACTACTTTCCCTGCTCTGTTATATATATAACGGAAGTAACGTACGACAATGGATCAAAAAATTCCCCCCCCCCCCGAAATTTCTACAGTTTTGGACTCGGGGGACCTTAAAATGTCGAGAAATGCAAAGAATTTAGGGTTTTTTTTTGTATGGTAGTGTGTGGGGAGGAACACGATTTTGTTAACGGCTTTAAAGCTTAATAACTTCTGTGTTTTTTGTCGAAATTTTCTAAAATTTTGGGGGGTATTTTGTGTATTAGGTGTATCGATGGTATTAAATTTTGGTGTTTAAAGGTCGAGGGAGTGAGGAGATAGAGGGGATCGCGTGTCGTACCTCGAGTAGGGTCGGACTTAACGACGATTTTAACGTTATAAAACTCTCTCCTACCTTCAAAACGAAGCTTTTTCTATTTTATAATAATTAAAAATATAAAAAGATTTTAAAAATAAAATCTCGTAACAGATGGCGCCACGCACGCAGTTTTAAATTTTGTCGGGAAAGTTAAGCAACTGGCTGATGGATTTTTGTAGCAATTAATTACAGCTATTTTCTCCATTTTTATATTAATTATACCTATAACTATTCTATTTTTCTGGGGTTTTATAGTAAATACAATCATATATATTCAATTATTTATTCATTATTAGATAGTATAATTCAATTTATACATTAGAATGTTTTCATTTTTCTAGGTTATCCAGAATGGGGATACGATGGAGACACTTGTAGGTTTATAGCATAGAGGATAATACAGTAATTACCATTTTCATCATCATTTAATATGCATATTCGACTATTCTAGTGCCAGAAATGTGGCCCGCTATTTATAAACAATGCGGAGGTTTTAACCAATCCCCAGTTAACATAGACATGGATCGAGTGGTGGTCAATCGTAATTTGGGTCCCATAACGTTTATAGGATATAATTCGGTACTGAGAGGTGTC